TTAATCGACTCCCCTCTGCCTGTTTCTCTTATCCTGTCTCTCTGCCTGTGTCTCTCTCACTCACTCTCTTTCTCCGCGCAGCTTTTTTCTTTTTCGTTCTTTAATTTTTTGACCCTCAGACCCTCCCCTCATCCCTCTATCCCTCCCTCTCACATTTCATCATTTTCCCATCCCCTTTTTTTTCCGTGTTCTTTGTGATTGTGTTTGATTGTTACCAGAACCCACTCTCTACACTATACCCGAACGGCTTTCTTTCCCACTGCTGTTAGTCTGCCCGTTTTCGGATCATTCGACGAGTTCATCTCCTTCGTCCTTTTTCCTTTCTCTTTATTTTTTTCTTTTCTATTCCTCTAAATCCCTTTTCCCCAGTCCATCGTCGACCATACATCAGGAGGATTAACGAAGGAAGAACACCAAAAGGAAAACAAGAAGAAAAGAAGTCTAGAAAAAGAAATTAAAAATATAAAGAACCAGAGGGCAATTCAATCCACCGGGAGCATTCTTGACTTGCTTTGTCCGGAGTATCGGTTGCCTTCCCAACTTTCGCTTAACCGACGCGATTTCACCACCCCCCCCCGGAACTCTTTGACCCTCTCTACTCCCCTCCTCTCCTCTATCCATTATCTCTTTCCTCACCCCTGGATTGTGTCTGAGCATCGTTGCTACTTGTGGCTTCTCTCGCGCTGTCTTTTCCCCCCAGTTTTGTATCGCTGTATTCGGGATTTAGCGTTTCCGATACCCATTCTGGAGACTACTCCTCGTTCCAACGCCGTCGATTTTCGCCAAGCTACCTCCAGCGGAAACACAGATTTCTCGATCTGGGGTTAATCGCTAGAGGTAGTCCGACCAGCTGCGATTGAATTTGCTACTAATTGTGCTGGAAACCGGAACCCATTCTGGAGACGTGGAAACCCGCCACATCAACCACACTTTCGTTTCCTCCAAATTCTTCGAGGGAAAAAGCCACCACCCAGCCCTAGACGCTCTTAAATTCCACCAGAACGCCACCAGGGACAGACAGAAAATCATGGCGTCAACCTCCGATGTGCACGGTTCCTCTCCCGTTCCGACGATGCCCCAGCCAAATGACAACGGCCGCGCACACATGTCCTCCCTTTCCTCATCATCTTCTATCTCCGACGCAGAAACCGAACGCCGCGGTCGTTCCGAACGTCCTCGTATGGCCAGTCGGAAACCCAGTGCCTCCATACTAGTTCCACGAGACCACCCTGAGATTGAAATTGAAGAAGAAGAATTTCCCCCGGATGACGCACGCGCGATGAGTCCCCGACGTAACTCTGCTGATCTGGAGCGACTGGGAAAGGAAGCCAGACAGACCTTGCAGGAGTGAGTATCTACATTACGACCTATTAACTCGTATTTGCTACTTGATGCGTTTGCTGATGGTCGTTCTAGACAAGCAAAGGCGCTCCAGTCCTCCCTTCAGGCACTTGCCGAACGTATCGAAGCAGTGAAATCGGATCACGACAAACTCGAAAGTGAAAACAAATTCTTGCAGGACTACATTGGTGGATTGACTCAAAAAATGACCAAGAGTGAAATGACGAGATCCAGCACCAAGGTCAGAAAGTCGCAAAAATAGGCGTGACGCCCATCAACATCCCGGCTGGTAGAGCCCATGACAGGGCTAGCGGTGTCTCCACTTGTATAGCGAAAACGAAAGAACTGTACGAGATTCGTCTCCGCCATGGTTTGATTGTACATTTCAGCAACTACGCATATCACCTTCTTAGGTCTCCCTTGGCGACACGTTCTTTTGACTGGTTGTCGGAGCACCATCCGTTGTGCGGGCGATCACACCGCACTATAATACGTATCAACATCACGAGAGAAATCGATTCTTTGACTGCATGTCGTGCGGCGGAGTCGGAATGACAACGGCGCTTATCCGGGAGCCACTCGTGCTAGATTTGGCGTCAAACCGATGTCATTCGTTACCAATTCATCTTCTGATTTGCTACTTCCGCAGCGGACATATCGCACAATAACTTCGCCACAGTCAACTTCACCAGATTACCCTTACCACTCTTAGCCAATAAATCGGTGCAGAATTCGGCGTTTTCCCTCGGTCGATACATGGAGATTGCCACTGTGTTTTACTACAGCGAAATTCGAATGACATGGTTGCTCCTGTGGCATCATTTCACATCGGTGTATCGGTTAGGAGCATGCTACTTTAGCTTGGCGACGATCAATCCTGGATCCCGATCACACCAATCTTCGTATCGACCAGGTGATGTCTTGCGTGGTGGGGCATCGTGGTCTCCTGTGCCGACCAGGTCCATTTTCAACTGTCCATATTGACTTGATTCTACTTCTGTCTTACCTTTTTTCTTTCTTTCTTTTTTTTTTTTCTTTTTTCAACCTCCTTTTTCTCTTCGATTTTCTTTCATTGTCATACCGGGAGGCAATCTGTACTTGTGGCATACATAGCACGCTCGGCGTTCGGAAATTACTGGGGATTACCTATTAGACTTGTTTGATTGATTCGACAGGAAACCGCACTGGGCGCATTTGTTCTCATGGCTTGCAAAAAGGCGAGGCGGGGAGAGTAAGCATTTTCACGGAGCAGCCCGTTGTTTTGTTTGTTTTCTATTTCAACATCATGATTATCGTGTACATTGGGATCGTCCCGGTCTGACGATTCAGCTTGATATTGTTTGGCTTTGAAGACATTTGCTTAACCATACCCAGAAGCGAGCGGTTTGATTGAATACAGAGATACTGATATACTGCTTCTTCCCCCCCCTTTTTTCGTGTAATATGTGCCGTAAGTTGTGTACGGAGTAGTTGCTGATACCAGGCTTTCCCTTGTACCAACACCCAACCTAACACCAGAACTGACCTTACTACTAGTACGATCGTATGTCCCAAGCCGATGGATAGTCAAAAAAAAAAAAGCCTCAAACGCCACAATAATCCCAATCTCAACCACCTACCTAAACACTCCGTCCCTAGTACTAGACTATACTAGCACCATCTCAGCCACGCCCATAATAGATTTTACCCCAGACTATACAATAACATAGACCCAAATAAATAAATAAAAAAATCATAATTAAAAAAACACATTAATCCAAAGATCTCCAAAGCCCCCAAAACCCTCAAATGACATCATAAAATCTACACAACCATCATCTCCCAACCCAAACGCCCCATACCAAAGGGAAAAGAAAAGAAAAACAAAAAAAGAAAAAAAAACAAAGCACAAATAATAAAGCCCAATCTTATAATAACAGATGCTAATACATCATACCATGACCAAAGAAAAAAAAAAAAGGGAAAAAATGGAAGAAAGAAAACTACTGTTTCCCTGTCGATCTAAAGCAAAGTTCAGCAGAAAAGGATAATTAAGGAAGATGGTTCCCGCGCGCCGCATACGTCATGTTTCAGGTTAGGCTGAGCTGTATTTTCCTCTTCCTTTTTGGCTTTTTGTTTTTGGTTTTGTTTTTGTTTTTATTTTTATTTTATTTCACCACTGTGGCTGAGGAGTTTGGAACTGAGTGAGTGGTGATAGCGATTGTTAGGTATGAGATGGGGTGCGTTTTGGGTTTATGGTGTTTTGGTTGTTTTTGTTTTTCTGGATTTGGTGGTATGTGTGGTTTTGATGTGAGGGGATTTTTTGTTTTATGTTTGGTCTCTATATGTATGTATGTTATAGGTTCTGTATGTACGAGATATGTTTCTATCTACGATAGTTGGTTATTAGTATAGGAGGTTATGATGGATTTGAGGGTACTTGATAATATTGTCGTGCTTTGTGTTTTGTTTCTTCGAGTACGGGACTCTGTCTTATCTTATGTGTCATTTTGAACTAAGCGTTCAAGCGTGTTTGCCTCTTTCTTTGCTTTTTTAGGGGGGCTGATGTTTGTATGGTGCGCGTGTCGCATGGATCTATCTTAGATGGAGATGAAATTGGATGTGTAGAATGGTACTTTTTTCTCCACTGATATACACTGGTACCAGCATCAGTTACTCTACACAAAAGACCGTTAAATTTGAAATTTCGGATTTCTTTGTTACCACTGCTGCTGGACTTTAGATCTAAATTCGAGCTCAGGCGGACAATCAACGCCATGCGTGGCACGAAAGGAACCAAGACAATGTTCAGGTGATAGTCCAGGTCTTGCGAGGGATAATAATTTCACTGATGTTTGGTGGGGGCACGAGTCTGTAACAGGTAACAGGGAAAGGTATTCTTTGGGTAGTTGAGGCAATAGGCAAAAAATTTAAAAAGGGAAATAAGGTAAAGATCATGCGAGAAACGAAAAGTTGAATCACAGATGGAGAACCGGTGCACGGGCAGAAGCCAACCACGCCCCAAAGTGAACTGCGTTAGAGAAAGAAAGCAGAGGGGCTCAAAGAGCATCGAGAACCCGAATCTCTATCCGCGGGCCGTGGCGCCAAAAAAGCCTCCATCTTGCCCTAGATTGTACGATACGAAAACGTCAAAGTCGCCTCGTTTCCTTTTCCTCTTCAGCACTCTAGTTCTTTCGCGTGAATCAACAGTCCCGTCGTCCGATTGCTCCATCCATGATCGGACGCGAGTCCTTCATCTCTTCTTTACTCGGCGGCGGGCTTCTCGCCCTCAGCAGCGGGGGCCTCCTCCTTCTTCTCGGCGGAGGCGTTCTCAGCAGCCGGTTCGGCCTCAGACGAAGTCCAGAGGGTCTACTCGGTGTTAGTACAGGTTGGCGGAATCGCGGTGACACTGTGCATTTCATCTTACCAAGTTGTCTCTGAGAAGCTGCATGATGAGGGTAGAGTCCTTGTAGCTCTCCTCGCTCAGGGTGTCAAGCTCTGCGACAAATGTTAGTGAGATGTCCGCTTCCATAATTAGGATAAATCGGCTGAAGCATACCAGCAATGGCATCATCAAAAGCAAGCTTGGCCAAGTGGCAAGCCTGGTCAGGGGAGTTAAGGATCTCATAGTAGAAGACAGAGAAGTTAAGAGCCAGACCAAGACGGATGGGGTGAGTAGGAGCAAGGTCGGTCTGGGCGACTTCAGTGGCGGCCTTGTAGGCCTCGAGGGAGGCGTCGGCAGCGCCCTTACGGCGATCACCGATGGCGAACTCGGCAAGATAACGGTGGTAGTCACCCTTCCTGTTGTTGAAAAAAAACCCCTCCGGTTAGAATCATACCAATCGCGTTGACGTAGGATGACAACAACATACATCTTGTGGTAGAAGACCTTAGACTCGCCGCTCTGAGCAGAGGGGATCAGGTGCTTGTCGAGAACCTCGAGGATGTCATCGCAGATCTTAGCGAGCTCGGCCTCGATCTTCTGACGGTACTCCTTAATGAGGGAAACCTGGGACTCGTTGCCCTTAGACTCTTCTTTTTGCTCAATAGAAGTGACGATTCTCCAGGAAGCACGACGGGCACCGATAACGTTCTTGTAGGCGACAGACAGGAGATTGCGCTCCTCAACGGTAAGCTCTACATCGGCAGAGGCGACAACCTTCATGTTCTCGACCATCTCTGAACAATCTGTCAATACCGAGTGATTGACATCGGCGAAGAAAAGATAACAGACCTTCGTAGCGCTCGGCCTGCTCGGCGAGCTTGGCCAGATAAACAGCATCTTCGTGACCCATTGTGATAGGATTCTGGTCGATTGTTAGTGGAGACGTTTTTAAATTCGAGCACAGCAATAGAAGAGCCAAAAGCAGCGGGAAAAGCAAGTATGAAATGGGGCCTGAATCATGAATGGCATGAGGGGCAAACGGGTAGTCACAGGGTAAATGACGAGGCTGTGATAGTCAAGTGGCCCGAAGAACACGAATTCTAGATCCCTCCGTCGTCATGTTTCTTTCCTTCTAATACCCTCCAAAAAAAAGAAAATATGCGAAGGTTGAATGGAAAAATAATTTTATGCTTTTTTCCAAAACCAAGAAAAAACTCCCATTCGACTCCAGTATGAAACAAACGTAACTGGGGACGGTCGGGAATTGTTGAAAGTGGGCGTCGCACCGCCGGTCCTCCAGTCGGCTAGCCGTTGACTTGCGTCGCGAATGGGCGATTCCAGAGCGATAGTCTAAACGGAGATCATGACAGCGAGAGCGACGACGACCAGCACAAGCAATTCACCCCGTCAACATCATACAGGCACATGCATGTGTTATAGCCCAAATAACCCTTCGTTGTATGATTCCCAGACGGTTTGCGATGATGACGACCCAGATGATTGATGGTGATGGTTGATATGGGGAGAAACAGGGAAAAGGAGGGGAAAACAGTGGAAGATGACAGAAATGGAATGTTCTCACCTGATGAGTTTGGGGGATTTATTCGGGGGATGGTAGATGGAGATAATAAAAAAAGTTGGGAGGTTGAGAAAAATGGAGGAAGAGTTTTATAACGGGGAAGGGTTAAGCGTTAGTTGCAGGAATAAAAAGTAATGACAAAAGTCGGAGAGGAAGAAAGAGAGAGAGACCAAGAGGGGGGAAAGAAGTGGGAGGGGAAAGTAAACGGAAGGGGGGAGTTGGCGGCGGAGACCTAGAGAGTCAATCACTCAGTGCCAGCGTCTGGCTCAACGCTTCAATAATTTGGGGGGGGAAAAGGGAACGTCGTCGACACCTGAGGAATACAACACACCCGGACTCGACGGCCGAATCGTCCAGAATTGAACTGTCTTTTTATACGTTTCAATTCGTTTCCCGATTACCTTGCATAGCTCGAAACTCCTTTTCTTTTTTAATTGTTTGATACTATTCTGGTATTTTTATTATTGCTGTTATATCTAATCCAGTTTCTTTTCTTTTCTTTTCTTTTCTTTTTTTTTTTCTTTACTTAAGTAAAGTAGATTGATTCATCTTCCCTTTTTTTTCACCCCCGTTCTACAAGAGCGGACGATTAGCCGCGGACTCCCTTTTCCCACATACACAGTCTCTCTCCTGACGCCCTTCTTCTTCGTCCAGACAGTCCGTCGTTTGTGTGGTTCGGTGGGCCTCTCAGCGTCATCCCTATTTCCCTCTCCGCCAATCGTCCCGCCCGCACCAGAGATCCCAGTATGGGTCGTTTTCTTCCTTGTATCCTAGTGATTTGCCATTATTGAATGAGCCTCGCAGCTAGTGGTCCTAGTCCAATGGTCATCTCCTCCATAGGCCCATATCCAAGCGCCAGAGTCCCCTTTGAAGAAATGAGATGTCACCTGCTATTATCGTGTTCAACTGTGATTAATGAACGAATACTAACTACTCCGGGTGCAAATATGATTCCACGGATTTGGTTCGGGTATCGGAATTAACTACAATCGATAAGGGAGAGAGACTCGAGAGGCCCAAGAAGGTTTCCAATTGTTTGCTCTGGACGGAGGATTAATGAATCGTGTTTTTCTTTTCTTTTCTTTTCTTTTTTTTCTCTCGCTCCTCTAGCCCCGACATCTAGAATGAATCTATCCCTGTTTCTAGAATTTCGGATAGGGAGGGAAAAATGTGATACTAATTAATAAACACATATTGCGGTATTAATAGAAACATTCAATAATTTTAATTTCCCGCGCGTGAGCAAAGTAGTAGTGCTAGTAGTAACTGTACTGGACTAGGGGATTCCACAACAACAAAATGGGCAGCAACAACAACATCGCTCACCTGACCCGCTGACTCACCCGCGTTGCCAACAGACCACCACATCACATGATCCACCGCGAACCCGAGTGTCGTCATTGGGTCTCGACCTTCGTCTGACAAGCCAAAACAACTGGAAGGTACCAGTGCAACCAATCACTCACCACTCAGGTACTTTAGAAGAACCATTTGTTCCTTCTCCCCTCATTCCTCCTTCTCATTCTTCTCTTTCTCACTCACACACATACTCTCTCCTACACCTCTCTTTCAACGAATTGCATCACATCCCACACCTCACCCTCCCCTCCCTACAATCACCATGCTCCGTCAATCCATCAGACCTCTCACCACCGCTAACCGTGCCCTCGTCTCCCGGTCTTTCTCAGCTCTCGCCCCCAAGATGGCCGCAGGTGATACTGGTGCTCCCCGTCCAGGCGGTGCCGCGCAAGCGTACGTCGCTCTTTATCTCCCCCTTGTTGTTTCAGCCGGTAAAAGAGGTCATCATCCGACCGCAGGATGATGACATCATCGTTGATGAATGGGACGATGGCACTAACGCATGCATCCAGCGACCAATTCACCAAGCGCGAAGCCGCCCAGGAGAACCTCTACATTCATGAGAAGGAGCGTGAGAAGTATGTGTTCATCCTTTCTTCTTCTTTGTTTTCTGTCTTTTTTTTTTCCGAGCCGTTTCCATTGGCCCAGTTCGGAATTCCCCGGTTGTAAGTAAATGCTAACTGTCTCTGTAGGCTTTTGGCCCTCCGCAACAAGGTCAAGGAACAGCGCAAGCATCTCGATGAGCTGGACAAGCACATGTATGTCTTCTGCGACTCACAGAATGAGTACCCTGTATTTGGATCGTGACTAACTTTCTTCTGCGATTGTAGTGAGGAGTTGACCAAGAACCAGGGCGGTGAACAGAACTAGGTCCTTGGTCGATTCGGATGTCATTTTTGATGATCTCTTTTATATCGGATGACGCAGTTTCTTTAGCTCACAGTTCCCCACCACGGTAGCATGTTATACATGATTTAGTTTCCCTCGATGTAATCTACACTCTTCGGTCTATTTTGACCTCTCTTGTGAGTTTTAGATATACGGTAGCTGGCATACTGCCAAGCCGTGGTTGCGTATAATTGTCATTAGACCATTGTTAAACCACCAACAATAGCTTGAAAATGGAAAGAAAAAAGACACAGCTCCAACCCAGCACAAGTACATTATTTCTCCGGTCAATGATAATGATCGCCGTATGTTTCCTCATAACTAAACCCATGATTTGGAAAGTTCCTCATCACTCTATTACCGCCGTCCCATGTAAGAGCGGTAGAAATCATCAGCCGCAGTCGAATTGCCCATGCCGGAGCTGTTAAAGCCATAGCCGAACCGGGAAGACAGAGACTGTCCAGCCTTCTGGGCTGCGCTGACCTTGGTTTGGAGTTCGGATGTGCCTTGATCGATAACCTGCAGTTGCGACAGGTGGGAATTGAGAATGCGCACGATTTGAGAGATCTGGCGGTATTATTAGTGGTGATACTGCGCAATCGGTAGGGAAAGCTATACTAACCGGTTCGTCTGCCTTGTTGGTCTTGCTGAGTGTCGCAGAGGCACCGTTGACCTCTTCAATCATGCTAGTCAGATCCTTGCCCATCTCGTCCAGGCGCTCCGAAAGCTTCTCAGCCAGCTTGTAACTATGGGTGTGTCAGTATGTGCCATCTCAAGGAAAAAAAAAATTATGTTATGAAAATGGAACAATACGTACGTCCTCTCACGTTCCTGGTCAGGTCCCTGCAAAGATTCACCAGGTCCTACTTGCTTCGACATCATTTCATCAACTTCACGTTCATACCGATCCAGCCACGAACCCAGTTCCTCCTGTTGACCCTCAACGGAGGCAAGCTGGCGCTCAACCTCTTGTGTCGCACGCTCCGCATCAACAGTACTACCGTACAGCTTCTGCACCTTGGTGCCATTCTCAACAAGCATTCGATCCCATTCGGCGACCTTCTCCGCCTGCTCTTTGAAGTCCTTCTGGTACTTAGTCAGATCAGTAGCCCACCGGGTGATGATCTCATCCATGGTCTTATTTTTCAGGCGAGACTGAGCTGGAGGAGTCGGCCCAGCGGTCGACGCGCCAAGCGCGGCGCCCCCGGTTGCTGCGTTGCTTGTCGCAGTGGTACCCGTTGTGCCGGTAGCGGTCGATGTTGCCGGCGCGGAGGGTGTGGTGAGCGATGGCTTAGAGGCATCTGTGGCTGCAGCGGGGGTTGCGGAAGTGGTTGAGGGTTGTGAAGGTGCAGTGGTTCCAGCAGGCTTGTTTCCGAACAATCCACCGGTGGGTGCCGCGGATTGAGCAGCGGGGGCTGCGGTAGCTGTAGTGCTCGGTGCAGTCGACCCTGTAGACTTGGGGCCACCAAGCGCAGAGAACATGCCACCGCTAGGAGCAGCTGCAGGGGTTGTCGACGGAGTTGTGGAAGAGGTCGTACCACCAATGGCGGGGAACAGGGATTTTTGCGGAGTAGCAGATGATGCGGCTGGAGTCGTAGAGGGCTGTGCGCTAGTGTTTGTGGTACCCAGTGAGAAAGCAGGCTTAGCCGCAGAGTCCGTTCCAGCAGCTGGCTTCTGGAAGAGAGAAGGTGTCTGAGCGCTCGCTGTACCTCCGGCGGAAGGAGTTGGGGCAGCGCCAAATAGTGGTTTGGGGGCAGTATCAGCACTGGTGGTCGGGGTTGTTGATTCCGCCGGTTTGTTAGCGTTTCCAAATAGGTTACCCCCCGCAGGGGCTGCTGGGGTTGAGCCAAACAAGGGCTTCTGCTGTGTGTTTTGTGTGTTCGATCCGAAAAGACCGCCGCCGCCGTTCGACTGAGTCTGCGTCTGTGTCTGCGAAGCTCCTCCGAACAATGGGTTGGTGGAGGGTGCTGTTGCAGTAGTAGGGGTGGTGGATGATGAGCTAGTTGTGTTCACGTTTCCAAACAGACCGCCTGGTTTCTGTGCCGTTTGTCCAAAGAGCGACTGAGGCTGGCCAGTAGCACCTCCCTGTGGTGGAGGACCAGCAGGAGTTGTGGACGCGGTGTTGCCGAAGATCGAGCCTCCTGACTGTCCCGGGGTGGAAGTTGCGTTGCCAAATAGGCCGCCTGCAGGCTTTGCAGCGTTTCCAAAGAGACCACTGGCAGGTGTCTGTCCAGAGCTGGGCGTTTCGTTCGTCTTGGGGGTTTGCGACCCACTACCAAATAGCGAAGGGGCCTGAGTGGTACCCGCGGGCTTATTCTGAGTACCGAAACTGAACGCAGATGTACCACTGCTGGGCGTAGCAGCGCTACCACTGGCACCGCCAAATAGCGTAGACCCTTGCCCACCAGTCGCAGAACTTGTGCCAAACATCGAAGGCGAGGAGCTGCCGCTGGTTGATGCTCCTATATTCCCAAAGAGACTACCCGAGCTCGATCCAGTATTCGAATTGCCAGCAGTCCCAAAAAGGCTTTTCCCAGAGCCCCCGTTGGAGGCCGGAGCACCGAATGAAAAAGACATGGCGTTGGCTTGTGGAGGAAGGTATCAACAGGGCTACCCTGAAGTGGAAAAAAAATAGATACGACACGCAATCAGTCAATCAATCCGGGAATAACCAGAAGCTAAGAAACAAATAATTGAAGACAACTCACTGCGCCCAGGAATAATGAGCCCTGAAAGATAAATCGGTAGGTGAATGGCTCTTGGTATAAGGATTGGCGCAGTCCAACAGCCAAAACAATTAATTATTCACCCGAAGCTGAGAGTTTCTCTGGAGGAACCGCGCTTGGCTCGGCTGGGCGACTATCTCGATACCTCAGGCACTAGGACCTCTTCGCCACTGCCTCAGGCATACGTTCGAGACTCGCATGGAACCGGTTATTCTAACCATAGGGAACCAGCGACAACATCACCACCTGTTCACTGCAACCTTAGTTACTCCTTATACCACTCCAATCTACCCGTCCCCGAACTTACTGTCACTTGTCTACATGTGCTACTTTGGAAAATAGACCTACTCTAATGTCCGAAAGGCTATCCCGCCCGTCCAGTTCGCACTTGGAGCCCCCAAGCAAAAGCGTAGAGTTGGTGGACTCCGGGGCACGAGACTCCGGTATGGTACATAACGAAACCCTCGAGTTGGTTCGCTATGTTTATCGCTGACAATATTACTTCAACAGCTACAAATAGTGACGATGATCATTTCTCAGATGCCAGTGAAGGCCATGAACGTGCCCATTCGCGCTCGGCGTCCGGTCGCACATCTCCTGTTCCACTGACTCGGGTGGAGAAGGTTGACGATACTCCTTCACACGGTGACGTTCCTGGAACTCCGGCATACGAGCTAAGGGGACATGATGCAGTTCCCGATGAGATTGAGATTATTCCGGATGGGTCACGCAGTAGAAGCTCCTCGACTGTGGGGCGACCGCAGCGCCCTTTGACCCCGGAAGGTTCACCAATTCCTCGGACAATAGTTGAGAAAGTCGATGCGGACCAACCAAGTCATGGAGAGATACCTGGTACCGAAGCGTATGAGAAGCGCAAGGCTGATGCGGTTCCCGATATTGTAACGACAGCCTCGAATTCGGATGCGAAGTCACCGTCGCACAGCCCGGAATTAAATGAGCGGGGTCTAAACGAGGGAATCTCTACGGATACAGATATTCCCGAGACAGTCCTCCAACGAGTAGATACTCTGCCGAATGAGGATACAGGATCAAGTCCACGAGCACATCAAAGGCGGCCGAGCGATGCATTGCCCGACGTAACAGAAACTATTTTAGATGGCCCAGGTAAAATCCCTGACTCTCCATGATAGCGTGGGCTTAAAATGGACGATTGACCAATACAGATGCACCGTCACCGTTGCAAGATAGCCCCCCGCATCAGAGTCATGACGAGCAGGAATCACCTGTGACCGGCGACGAAGGCGCAAACCAGACGGCTGCAGATGACTTTGATGATTTTGCGGAGGAACAAGACATGGAAGAAGATGACTTCGGTGATTTTGACGATTTCGATGATGGTTTCCAAGAGCCCAGTACAGAGGTTGCTGATGAGGAACTCGTGGTCCAAACACCTCAACTTCATACTCCACCTACGGTTGTAAGTACCGCCAACACCTGTTGCATAGCCCATACTTCATATCCCCATGCTCCTAGAAGGCGTATGCTGACAATGCCTTGTAGCCGCCCCTTGTGGATTTCGATTCCTGTCAATCACTTCCTGATGTCTTTGCTGCCCTTGACGAACCTCTTGATCGTCTCTTTCCCGCTTCCAAGGAGGTTTCATCACTCCCTCCGATAGAACCACTTCAAAACAACTCAGCTATCTTCAACACTGAACGCTCTTTGTCATTATGGTCTCAGCTGGTTGCGCCTCCGCCACTACAGCCCCAGAATTGGGTAAAATCTCGCATCCGTCGTCTCTTTCTAGTCTCGCTAGGAGTACCTGTCGATCTCGACGAGATCTTACCAGCTTCGAAACAAAAGAAACTTGTTTTGCCATCAATTAACCCCGGTAACCCCGACGCTACTTCAGGGACTCATTCCCGCTCGGGAAGTCAAGTCAGAAAAGACGACGTTCAAAGCGGTGCTAACAGTCCGTCGACGTCTGGCCCACCTCGGAATAGAGCTTCATGGCGGCGCGAACCGTCTCCACCTCCCCAACTAGACCTCCCAGCCGTCCGACGCCTATGCTCCACGACAGACGCAGCCCTAGACGGACTCACGGATGGCGAATTACAAGGTCACGTAAAAGAGCTGGAAAATGTTACACTCCGCGCCAGTTCTGTCCTCGAATACTGGCTGAAACGACGAGACGGCCTAATAAGTGAGAAAGAAGCCTTTGAGGGCGTGATTGAGAACCTTGTCAATCACGCCAGGCGTGTGAGAAAATAATGTATAGCATAATGAATCTCCTTTCCCCTTTTATTCCTCTATCGATTCCCCCATCACCCCTCGCTGTCTCGACTTGGCCTGTTTGATTCTGGATCTGAGATCCCCTTCTCTTCATTACTTTATTAATACTTCTTGTGTCGGTGGGGTCTGGACCTTGCTATCCATTCTTTTACTCTAGATATGATCCCCGTTAGAATGAGATTATAATCTCTGTTAGATAGAATAGGTTAGCTAGGATAGGTAACCTGAGATCTATAATATACAATTCCAATCTATAACCTCTAGCTCTTCTCTAGTCTCGACACTATACTATAATGTAGATGCGTTCAACCAATTGAATTTAAACCTGAGCTTGTACTCTGTGTGTATATATATATATATGTATGTATATTAATTGTACCCAGCACATAGACCATGCCGTCTCAACGATTCTACTGATTTAGAGAACCTAACCTAGTACTTCCTTTGATACTATAAAGGTACGTTTGTATCGACGTTCAAATCATCCTTCCCCTTCTGTGTTGTTTTGGTATACTGTACATGTCTGCATACATTCCGAGGTAAGAGATGAAAGCGTAAGAGATAAAGAAAGACCAACCAATCCAAAATTTTACACGCAGTCCCATGCAGTGGTTGAATCAAGAGTGCGAGATAGAAAGGAGACAAAAAGGGAAGTAAGAACCAATAACAACAATTTAAGCAAGCTGGGTATCGTAATCAAAACAAAAGCGCCTGACTTATTTGACAAAAAGAAAATCGCAGAGCTCACGTATGCTAAGAACTTGCAAGGCAGGAAGTAGAACAAATGAAGTCATCAGTCATGCAGGAGTTCTCTCCTTGGTAAGGGACTCGATAGCGATGTTGACAATTTTTTTTTCACTCTCTTTTTCTTGTTTAATCCAGCGTAATGACTTCGGGTGGGTGAGCATTGCTGACCGGCCCGTTCACGGAATTGGTCCGTTCAGATTTTGGCCTCTGAGTAGCTGGAGCTGGGGAATGATTACTGGGTTCGGATGCTTTCCGTTTAGACGGGACTCGTTCCCCGGTGTTATCGGGGCCGCGTTCTGAAGAGGGTTGTGCGTCTGATTCTGATTTTAATTCCCAGGATCCGTCGGCTTTGATGAGGATTGCCTTTGCTCCTTCGAGTCGGTTGGTGCGTGCTAACTCCGCGCGCACTTCCTGAAGGTAACCATCGATGACCAATTGCTGGGGACGCGCATCTCTGCCGCAAATGGGACATTTCCAGTCATTTTTCAGGCTGCGTTTTCCCGACTTCGAGGCACGCGTCTGTATCCAGGTCAAGTGATCAAAGCAGTCCCGGTGTCCACAGGAGCGTCCGCGTACAGGGCGACTGAAAATTCGTGCGGTGAAAGGATCCACGAGGTTGATGCTGAGATGGTCACTGACAACACTCACTTCATCGTCCTGCGAGCTAGAAGAGAGACGCTGGCAAATCTGCTCCCGACATTCAGAAGCGGGTAAGGCTTGAGCAAGTGAAAATGCTCGAACCAGATCTGATATCTCCAACACTTCAACTCCCATTGCGTATAACATATCGTTTGCTTCAGCTGGGCTGCGGATAAAATATAAGGATATCATATTATCCCCTTCCCTAAGATGATCGGTGATATCTAACGGGAGATCTTTACCATTATGCACTCGTCGGCGAACAAAAAGCTCCACCCCATTGACGTGAACATAAAAAACACTCGGCCACACCGATTCAGTAACAGACCACATCGACTCTGCGACCTCACTGGCTGCCGAGGGCATCTTGATACACCGTAGTCGATATACCCGATTGCCACTAGAATAGAAACGGAACGAGCGCTGTCCTATCCCTGCCGGGCGAGATTTAGGAAACTGGTCTAGATTATCCTTTGACAAAGTGAACTTCCAATGGAAGGCACACTGCTCCCGCCCGAGTGGTGTCGGTGGCACAGCGAACGAACTGAGATATTGGAACAATTCCATCTCCTGCTCGCCTGTAGGCCCTCTAGAAAGCAGGTAATTGTGTGGGTCACGTAGGTGGACCTGATGAAGAGCATCCCGCAGCGGTTGGGGCGGGATTGTATAAAATGGATGTGAGTCTGGAAGGGGAAGAAGAAGGGTAGGCGGGGGATGTGGACGAGGCGGTCGTTGAGACACTGGAGAGTGTGGGGGTTGAGTATGATGCCTCAGATTCACTGGTTGCCCCGACGGACCAGCCCCATTGTTTCGTAGCTCTAGCTGAGGTGGCCGTGCCGGTACCTGTCGTGGACCTTGGACTGCGGGTTGCATCGACGGGATTCTGCCTCCCGGTGGAGGATGCGCAATTTGGGACGGATATACCATCGGCGGAACAGCTGCTTGGGCTGGAGCACCGGTTGCTCTCGACATTGGATCGGACACCTGAAGTGTGTAAGTATGTGGAGTGGTCGGAGCGCCATTAGTCCAACTTGAACGTCGACTGTGAACAGGAGCCGAAGGGTAAGAGCCCGAGGCGTTGGCTGGCATGCGCGCCGTTGGAGGCATGAACTGATACGATGTTGGGGAGGCTACCTCAGGATTAACGGGTTGAGGTATTGGAGCGCCTGACGACCTGGTCACTGAATGAGGCACCGAACCTCCACGACTCGTCATCATAACTGGCAAAGGATGGGAATGTGTACTCATTGTACCCTGCGACACCCAGGGGCCGGGTTGACTGGGCAATGGAAGCGTCATCTGGGGATTGCGGACTTGAGGACTACCGGTGCTCGTAGGTCTGGCCACCAGATGTACCATTGGATCTCCGATCGACGTGGGCCCATGGGACAGGTTCGGGGGTGGCCCCGACTGATGCGTGCCATCTGGTGCAGGAACCGAGCGGTATGCCTGAACGACCTTCTGGGTCTCTTCGTAAACTTGTGCATTAGACACCAGACGCGATGATGCGCAACGCTGTTGGTAGTACCGTAGATCTAGCTCCCAGACGGCCTTCAAATGCTCTTCACTCTTGGACCCGGGCAATGTACGACACGTGGACAGAAAGACCGTATACGCTAAAGCCCCCGATGTGATTCCGAAGTTCTTCACAAGCTCCTCGACCAACGGTGGAAACTCTCGCTTTCGCACTTCCTTCACATACATGGGCCACTTTTCACCTAGCAAGCGGAGACATTGCCCGGCCTGCTCCACAGCTTGTCCATATCTAGAACTCTGTATCAACCCTATAAGTGGGGCAGGGAACTGAGCAGACCATCTGAGAAAACCCCCTGAGACCCGATTGTTTTCTACTAAGAGTCTCCTAATCACATCTAAGCCACACTCCTGAAGCCCGGTATATCCCGGCAGCTGGAAAAATTCTTGGGGGGCAAGGCTATGCAAACAATACACCTGATGAATCGCGAGAAACAGAGGGTCTCGTTCAGCACAGGCTTGGTACAGAAGCTGCGTCCGTGGCTGTTCTACATTTCCGAGACAATCCCTCTGCTTCAGTTGATTTTGGAAATTTTCAATTGTCTTCAACGATTGTTCGTAAAATGCGTCATCCAGAAGGGGATTGTGGAAAGGATTGCGCCGGGATGCACTAGGGGACTGCACCATCTGTTGCCTAGGGGATGCGGCAGACGGTGGGAAAGCTGGAGACAAAGCTGGAGAGTGTGAGTGAGATGCGTGCGAGTCCCGTCTCTGCAGTTGCACTGAAATATTGCTCCTTTCCCATTGGTGTCCGGCCCTGGTAGAATTCCCGGCTATAATATTCGCGGCTTCAACCCCAGCTGGTGAAGATATAGACACTGCTGTCCCGACCTGGGACTGGTGAGGCAGCGGCGCTGGCCCCACGGTGCGAGGGGACGGAAAAGCTGCAACCGAGGGACTCGCGCCATTGCAAGTAACGACATTGCTGGAGCTGTCATGTATTGGAGAAGGGACTACGATCGGGGTGTGGAGGGTACGTAAAGCGGACGGCCGAGACACCACAGTGGTTGTGGTAGCTGTCGCTGCTAGAGGAGGGTCGGGCCCCGGCGAGCCCTGAGAAACGGAAGATTGCTGCTGGAACTGCTGCTGTGCGTGACCGCGAGTCACCGGGGATATTACATTCGGCTGCGATTGAGGTTGTGAGGGCAGAGCGGCGGCAGAAGTGGTGACTGACGCGGCATTCTCTTCATGACTTTGGGATGGCACGGGAAGCACGCGAAGAGAGCACGACTCTCGCATGCCTTGTTGACGCGTCCGGCCAGCAGCAGCAGCAGCAGCATCAGTAGCATCAGTAGCATCAGTAGCAGAAACAGCAACACCGTTATTCGAAGGAGTAGCGGTAGCCGAATCGTCAGGTAATTCGGAGTGGCCGGAGAATGAAGAGGAACTGTTGGCTGCATTCAGCATCCACGATCTCCGCACACCACCTAGAAAAATGCTGGCGGTGGAATTGGACGATTCGACGGAATTTGGGTTAGAATTAACATTAGGTAAGTGGGGAGTTAGGCTCATGATGACAGAGCATCGTCTGGTTCATTTTCTCCTTTCGCTTGGTTTTCTTTTCCTTCGCCTGAATGCATAAGAAATTGTTGAAGTCTAGATTGAAATTGGAATGAGGGAAGAATCCATGTAAATGAGAGAGAAATCAGTTTGTCCGGGAAACAGACCGACCGACATACAAATAAGAGAACATAATTTTTTTTTAAAAAATAAAGAACGGAAAAGAAAATAAATATCAATTATTGCGCGTAACATACATACACGCACTCTGGTACCGCCGAGAACAGATTAACATGATGTTGTCCCCCTAAAGTAGGTACGATAAAGAAAAAAAAGAAAAGAAATGTTCACTCGGGTTGAGAGTTATAGCAACCGGTGATGAAGAGAAATCCCACGGGGTTTGCTTAAGTTGATTGATTACTCACCGTGGTTCAATGCTGTGATATGTTCTACCACTTTTTATAGCCCTTTTTGCCTTCTCTCTCTCTCTTTTCATATTTTGTTTGTATTTTGATCTTATTTTACCTCTAGGGTTTTTTTTCTTTTCTTTTCTTTTCTTTCCTTCTCTCGCTTATTCACTCCCTCTCAATTGGATTCCAGATTACTAGTATTACTTAAAAAAAACCAACGCTAAGTTAACTAATGTAGTAAGAGTCGTAGTAATGCTTATTATCCATGCAGGCGGTTAACTGAAACAAGGAAAAAAAAGTACAGTGCAGGGGAATAATCAAAACCAAAAAAAAAATAAAAATAAAAATAAAAATAAAATAAATTAAAAAGAACGAGGAAGGAACAAACTGATTCTCATTAGGCTCAACTTTTATGCATGATTATCCTCTTGAGTCTCAGGATCCCCATGCATGACCCTAAGTCAGTCTATTGGGATGGAATGAACCCATCGAGGAAGCCTGATCTTTCTGGACCTGTCAAGTTTCTGAGAACGCCGCATTAGTTGCAAGGTATGTCGATCCCTACCAGTCCTTCCCCAAGAGTCAAGTGATGGGCCCAAGGGAGAGACTTATCAGGTTTATACGCCATGTTATGTATCCCTTGGATGGTGTGGCTGGGGGGCACATTATTGTATGTACTATAGGTACTAGTGGTATCTCGTCCACGGAGCATCTTCATTTCACTCTGATTGGAGAGAGTTGATAGAGTCGAGAATGATTCTATACATATTGCGTTCGGTGGGGGGAAGTATATCATATCAATCCAGGTTTGAGTTGATACATTGGAGCAATGATTGCCGTTTTCACTCGTCTGAAGCATACATATAGAACGGAGTTGATCATCATTTTTCTGACTGGTATTTATTAATTTATTCTATTTGACGATCCTCCTCGTGGAGAAGTGTCAGTCGTTGATCTATGTGTACATATAAATCAATGTAAGGCACCGTTCCTCTCTTGGGTGAACAGCTGTTCGGTGATGAAGTAGTCGGAGTGAGACTCTGTTGGCTCCAGTCATCATCTCCCATCTCCCTCCCAATTAGGGCTCAGTGTATCTGTCCATTGCCTCACTCATGCTACAGCAATTGCAGAGCACCACCCGCCTTGGATTTAATTCTTAAACCTAGGACTTTGGGTCAATTCCTTTTTTTTTTTTTTTTTTTTTCCCTGTGGTTCCGATTCCCCTTTTTGTTCTTATCCTCATCCTGGTCGTCTATCCGACGTACTCTTTCAGCTCATACCTCAGGCCACACCCGGTACACCTCAGGCCTTTAAGGTGTATATGGTAACCGGCGTGACTTCCCGCAGCCTCAAGCATTAATTCCCTTCTTGGGACTGACTACAATTTATTCTTCTACTCCTCTACTCCTCTTTTCCTCTTGTCCTCTCTCCTCCCTCTTTCTTCATCCTCCTTCTCTCCACCACATACCACACATCTTCCAGGCTGATCAGTGACGCCACCGAAGAGAAGGGAAAAAGCCAAAAAGAAAAACAAAGCAAAAAGTCAAAAAGCCCAAAAGAGAACTCAACGCCCAATTTTCTCAAGACTTTAATTTCCTCCCGGGGGGCCATTTAATTTCCACTTGTGACCCGTGCAGCGTTGCCGCTCAGTTAGCGCCCCTACTGTACGTCGATTACAGCAGTTAACCCTGACCGACCTTTGAAAGCACACCTCAAGCGCCTTAGATCGTCGTTTTACGTGCATCTGTTCCTTTCGGTCGATCTGATCCCGGTCCGTAAGAAGAGCTAACGGTTGTTCTTTTTTTATCGCTTCGAACCTAGCTTCTGACGACGCTTCCGAGGAATTGACCAGCGATCTATATATCACCAGCTCCGGCCCTCCCTCTTCCTTTTTTAGCGCCACTGGGAAAACGAACTTCCTTCCAGACCCGCCGCTTTCTTGTCCCCGCTAATTCTCCTCCCTTCTCGCCCATTTGAGGCAGGCTTGGAATTCCTCAACACAACCCGCATTCTAGCTACATTCCACATCCACTCCCCCAACCTTGGTTACTGCGACAATCTTCGCCCCAGCCATCCGCTGCCCCTGTGGTTTTCAAGATCTCCCCGCCAGGGCTGCGGCCCCTATGTCCTGCGCAATCCCTCCGCTGTTACCACTGCGTTCTTGTGACGTTTGACCCCACTCTGGCTCTTTAGACATCATTGACTCTGAGGAACCACCACCAATGGCTCTCGCAACGCCTCCTCGCAATGTCCACCCGGGAGATCTGCTCTTGGTTGTTCGTGAGTGACCCGACCGTGGTCGCATACACTTTCCGCGACACTCGGTTTGTTCGATAACGCTGACCGTGTTGGCAGATGATTTTGAGGCCCGTGGGCCGGATGAGCTCAACTTGCGTCGCGGCGAAAAAATTGAGCTAGTTGAGTTGGACGATGGTTTTGGTGATGGGTGGTATCTCGGAAAGGACTTAAACACAGGAACTCAAGGCCTTTTCCCGGGAGGTATGGTCTCGCTAAAACAGCTACTGTTGGAAAGGAAGTGTCGCTAACGCAAGCACAACCCATCAGTATACACTACCGCTGCCCCAAAGATCCCCATCCGGCCGCAGAAAGACACCCTTGGATCAAATACACTAAAAACCGACCTCCATCATGTAATAGGACAGGAGATATTTGCTTCACCTATTAGTGGCGAATCTACGCCCCAAGCTTCCCGACGTGCCAGCACGTCTGATATGAGCGCGCCAGATATTGATGATTCAACAGCCCCGACGCCCTCCCCAAAACAACAGCAGAGGTCCAGCTCCTCGCCATTACCAACGTCTAAAATGGCGATCGACATACAGAAGACCATCCGACAGTCTATTGATGGCCACTTGGGGGGCCAGGACAGTCCGGTGATGAACGAAACCCTGAGTGTCATTGATGAACACATTACCGATCTGAGTACACCTCGCCACAGTGTGACTGCCTCCCAAGATTCCAAGACGGTGAACGACTCGGCAAGTGAATATAGCAGCACACTCGAGCACCGAATGTCTTACATTAACGGACATGAAACCGACGAGGAAGAAGAAAGACAGCCGACAGAGGAAGAAGTTCGCCGATGGAACCATTCCGAGACGGCGAAACATTTACGTCAGCTGGGACTTGAAGCCAAACACTGTGACATATTTGAGGAACAGGAGATTACTGGTGATGTACTCCTGGATATGAACCAAGATTTTCTCTTTATGAAGGAGTTTGATTTTGGTGTTATGGGTCGGAGATTGAAGACATGGCATAAAGTCAAAGCCTTTCAGGAGGAGGTCAAGGGTATTCCGCAGCAGCAATCGTCACGCAGCTCATCTTTTGCGACCCCTCAGGATGAACGTGCTCCTAGTCGCGCAAGTCACACTGGCCCTCTCTTTCCTAGAATCCCCAATCTGAGAGGGCCAAACGGCCCGGCACAACACCCGCGACTCGTCAGTAGCACTATGCAGAGCAGCACGGGTTCACCCCTGACGTCACAAGCTCCGGTATGGATGGACCACTCTAGGAGACCATCGGCCGCGTCTATTCGTGAGATCAACCATTCGCGGCGCCATTCGTCGATCGATACCACCAACCGATACTCAGGGGTGGGTGACTCTTCTCCTGCCAGCCACCACAAGAAAAGCTCGTTCGATCGGGGGTGGACATTAAATGGTGCTTCGGGGTCCCAACGGCGTCCCGGGTCATCTCTCGGGGCGCCAAACGAGATTGCTCCCCCTCAATCTGTGTTTCACGTGGCGGAGTCTATTGGTTCTGACTCGGCTACCGCCGTTAGCGATGATTTAGATCGCGGCTACTTCTCGGGCCCGGAGGGAGATACCCGAAAGAATCGGCGTGTCCTGCAGAAACGAAGCTCTACCTATGGCAGTGTTTCCACGCCATCCAGCATTCCGGATGAGCACTTCCAGCTCAAAGTCAATAAACGTCACTCACGTATCAACAGTGCTGATTCTATCAGGGATGCGGCTCAAATGACACCCCCCGCAGCGAAAGCTTCCCCACCAAGGGGTCGTTTCAGGAGTTTGAGTACTCGAGCTTCGGACCGACATGGCCAGCAGTCATCTAATCCGCCATCTGCGGAAGAGAAGTCTTCTGGCTCTGGGTTCTTCGCCGCGTTTTCGCTGGGTGGGAAAAATAACGAGGAGCAGACGCAGCGCTCCAGCACTTTACCGCTTCAGGGGATCAAGAACGCTGGACCTAAATTCCGACGTGCTGTTGGTCTCCGTGCCATGTCCGAGGCTGTTAAAGGGATCGATACCTCCGTTGCTCCCCCGTCTCCTAGTAAAGATCCTGAGTCTCCTTCAGCTAGAACAGGATCGACAACCCCTTCGACCACAAAGAGTTCAGAACGACATAGTACGGATGGTTCGGGCAAGGCTGTAGAAGGTGGTGCGTCCTTGCCGCGTGCTCGTACGCTCAGGCCCGGGACCAAGTCGAAGAAAGATACAAGCGCTTATACCCAGGGCCTGGAGAAGAAGACCCCGAAGGAGCAGATGCAAGGATGCGAGTTTTCGGGGTGGATGAAGAAGAAGTCTTCAAACCTGATGACAACGTGGAAACCGCGTCTCTTTGTGTTGCGTGGCCGTCGTCTGTCGTATTATTATTCAGAAGATGACCCCGAGGAGCGTGGTCTTATCGATATTACGGCCCACCGTGTGCTTCGCGCAGATAACGACCCTCTCATCGCCCTGCATGCTACCTTAACTGGTTCCACAGCATCGCCAACTTCGCCGTCTGGGCCTACTGCCGATGGCCCTTCATCCGATAAAGCCTCAGGCTCGGAATCTTCTCTCCGTGGGTCCAAGCCCGTGGGAGAAGGCCCTTTTTTCTTCAAACTTGTACCACCAAAATCGGGTACTTCTCGGACGGTGCAGTTCACGAAGCCTGCTATCCATTATTTCCAGGTAAACAGTGTTCAAGAAGGTCGCTTGTGGATGGCAGCGTTGATGAAGGCTACCATCGAACGGGATATGGAACTCCCCGTAGAGACTACCAATAAACAGAAGACCGTTAGTCTAAAAGAAGCCCGTCTTATGAACCAGCGGCCTCCCGCGCTGTTGCCGACGACTCCCGCAGCCCAGGAAACAGAGGGGAAAGACGAACGTTTGGCGACCACCACAGAGGAGGGCGGTTTGATGATTCAAGGTCTCGAGGATGAGCAAGTGCCTACCCACGGGGACGATGACGAGAAGAAACGAGTTTCGAGCCCTCTCGGTGGCCTTGATGCCGGCCCGCCCTCTTTGCTACCTGAATCAGTTGCAAAGGTGGATTGATCGTGTTGCTGAGAGGACACAGCCGCTGCTTGATCATATTTTGTTTTTCTTGCTTTGAATGCTACTGTTCTGTTTGGCGTTAATGTGATATACCCCCATTTGGCTTATTTGATCTCAAGCTTACGGTCGTTTCTCCATTAATTTTACCGAATAATATTTATTGCGTTATCTCTTCCAACTATCGCTGGGTGACCAGGTCCTCGAAGACAAGGCTTAACTAAATACCGCACGAGCTCCAGTAGTCAATCTTGTACATGTAATGGAACAAGATGGTTGATCCCGATAGGACTTTCTAAAATTAGGGCTGATGATCCATAAAGGATGATCACCCGCACGCCAAACCCTCCTTTCATGACCCGTCGTTTGTTTCTGTTTTAAGTTTTCTTTTCTTTTCTTCCTTTTATTACACCTCATATGAATCAGAGAAGCGCAAGATGAGATTATACTTATTTGACATGGCTTCCCTCTGAAACAGACCAGACCACTAACAAAAATAAAATAACTAACAAAAATAAAAAACAACACGATATACTCCGCCAATGGTGCTGCGATTATTCCCCGGTGTGCCTCCATGTCCCTCCGCCGGCTTCTTTCCCGCGTGCTCTCCCTCCTCCTGCCGCTGGCGATAGCAAGCAGCCTTTACCTCTATTTTTACCCTGTCTTTCATGGCTGCGCATTTCCACTGCCTGCGGATAATCATACAGGGTTTCTTTCAAATTCGTTTACCAGTGCGCTCCGCCAACACTTCTCACCGCAATCTACAGAGAACCCCGCGATCTTCAGACTTCTGGTCCTAGCGGATCCCCAGCTAGAAGGCGACAGCTCTCTCCCGAAACCCGAAGATGAGCTTCCTGCCCGGATTCAACATCACTGGGTGACAGTGAAATCATCGGTGAACAAGACGGAGCCTCGTCAAATCCTCACCGCCGTCTCAACCGCATTGAACTCCTTCGCCAGCGAAGATATCCCTCGCGCCTTACGTGCAGCTCGGAAACGGCTCGATCTATTGGGCAACGACTACTACCTTGCGCATATTTATCGCACGCTACATTGGTGGAGTCGCCCAACGCACGTCACGGTTCTGGGTGACCTGATCGGGAGCCAGTGGGTGACAAACGAGGAGTTTGATCGACGCGGCCGCAGATACTGGGAGCGGGTCTTCAAGGGTGGCGAGCGCATTGCCGATGATATTACAACAACTGGTGCAAGGAATTATAGCGGTGACGAGAAGCAGAGTGGTGAACTGGAGACACTCAATGCTACGCATTCCGCATGGACACAGAGGATCATCAACATTGTCGGGAACCATGATGTAGGATACTCTGGGGATGCAAGTGAGGCGCGGATTGAGCGGTTCGAGCGCGTGTTCGGCCGTGCGAACTGGGATGTGCGATTTCAACTCCCACTAGAGCAGGTCGATAACGCGACTGCACCCCTCAGTGCTCCCCCGACTCTGCATCTGATCAACCTCAACACCTTGACTCTCGACTCCCCGGCCCTGTCCTCGGACGTCCAGTCGCATAGCTACAGCTACATCAACGATCTGATCTCTCATCGTTTGTACCCTGTGGAAGACCGCACGACATTCACTCTCCTTCTTACCCACCTGCCCCTACACAAGCAGGAGGGTATATGCACCGACGGCCCTTACTTTACATTCCATGAATCAGACGACGAGAATGGGCCCGACGATGTACCGCGCTTTAAGGAAGGAGGGCTGAAAGAACAAAACCATCTCAGCGACCACATCAGCAGCAGCGGAGTCCTCCAGGGGATTTTCGGCATGACAGGGGATGAAAGCGCCCCCGGCGGAGGAAGAGGACGTAATGGACTCATTCTGACAGGTCACGATCACACGGGTTGCGACGTGGTCCACTTTGTGAACCGAACTATAGACACAACTACCGCCGAAGGCTCCGAATCCCAAAGTTGGAAATGGGACGCAAAACGCCACGATAGTGCTGTTGATAACTCTACGCCCGCCATTAGAGAAGTCACCCTTCGCTCTATGATGGGTGAATATGGCGGCAACGCAGGCCTGCTTTCTCTCTGGTTCGATACTACTGTGAATGAATGGCAGTATAAGATCACGATGTGCATGGCTGGTGTGCAGCATATTTGGTGGGCGGTGCATGTCATTGATCTGGTGACTTGTATTCTTCTTCTCGGGTATATACTGGCTAGCTTAGGGTCGAAACCAAGCCTTACAAAGATAGAGGTTGGACAGGAGAAGAAGAGAAATTAATGATCAGTTATTAATATCCCTGGGACGGACTTCTTGTTTTCGCAGCTCAGACGACCTGGTTTTAGGGACCAACAGTTATAGATATCTTGTACTTATCATTATATAGGGAAAGGGTGATATGGCCTGTGGACGTGTATATTATGACAAAAACCAACCATCAATGTACTCTACGATTACATGCATACAACGATCCTTGGGCCCGGTTGAAATCAAATCCCATCACCACTAGATAACCAAAGAGGATGACCTACTGCGATACGGAGGAGTATTTACGCACGAAGAAGGAGTGTAAGAAGGACGCCCCCATTTTCTGAATTTTTATATTCCGAGTCGCCATATAAGAGACAAAAAGAAACACGTCATAGAGGAAATTGAAGTGATGAAACTCGCGGTTCTAGTATTATCACCCGGTCGTTCCTGATTTTCGTTTCCCGTTCATAGTTGCACCCAAAACGAATTTGATTTGATTCCCCTGCTTGGTATCGAACTATTTCCTTTAATATTTTCCAAGACGGTTCTCCTTGTTTACATGACAACACCAGAGTTGGAAGCGATACGCTGTTGGGCGATTCCGTTAGCATAATTATTTTCCAGGATAAGGAGGACATGGGGTGCTTACAGGCCAGAGCTCAGCAGCCTCCTTTCCGACGGGGCCGGTGATGGCGGATCCCTTCATCTCACCCTTGGCGTTGACGATCTGTAGAGAAAAATGCGTTAGCAATGTGACTTTTTCCTTCGGAGTATTCCATATCGAAGGTGAATGGGGAATACGTACGACACCAGCGTTGTCCTCGAAGTAGAGGTAGATGCCATCGGGACGTCTCCAGGGCTTGCTCTGACGGACAACAACGGCGGGCATGACCTTCTTACGGAGCTCGGGCTTTCCCTTCTTGACGGTGGCCATGACCATGTCACCGACACCAGCGGCGGGGAGACGGTTGAGGCGGGCACCGGTACCCTTAACGGAGATGATGTAAAGGTTACGGGCACCGGAGTTGTCGCAGCAGTTCAGAACGGCGCCGCTATAAGAGTAGACCAGTTAGTTACCTGACTGTCGGGGGTTGACACTGATGGATGTAGGTATATATATATGGGATTTTCGTCTCGATATTGAGGGTTCATGATTCGAAATAGGATCGGTTTTCGACGTACCAAGGCAGACCGAGCGACATCTTGAGCTTGTTGCCCGAGGAACCACGACTGTAGAGGAGCGATTCGTTAGCATAATCTCATTTTCATTTTCTGACCGAGAAAAATTCAAGAGTAAAGAAGTTTGTTGTTTCTTTTAACTGTCCCGCAGCCAGAGTCTGAGTATCTCCCCGGTTTGTTCTTCTGGTCGTCGTTCTTCTATCCCTGTCCCTTGTGCGATCCTTCCTCCGTCATTGTCCTTCTCTTTCTTCCTGATAATTGATTCCCTTTACCCCGTATACCTTTGCCCACAAACCCGGTTCGATAAACTCAGACCACCACCGTTGTAGACTCCCTCGCTCGTAGTCGAACAACGCAGAAAAAAAGAGCCAGTAAAAACTCACCCTCTTCCAGACATCTTGGCTGTGTATCACGTAAACGGTGTCGGATACTAGAAAATTGGCGAAGGAAGCGACGAAGGTCGACAGTATCAGGCGTCGTCGAGGGATTGCTCGGGTTTCCGAATTGCTTTCTCGCTTAGTGTGTCGTGGGTAAAATCTTGGCGCCTTAGTGCTATTGGTCCGTCGAGGGCCCATGGTGAGTTAGGGCTCAGACGATACACTAGTCCTCCTTGGGGTTAGAGTGTTCAGATGGATTAGGTAATCTCATGTATGAGATGCTCTAGACATGCTCTACTCCGTACTAATTATTGCAAAGGGATTCCGCAATTCGACGCGTTTTTGGAAAGTATGTATGAATTTGTTGAAGTTTTAGCCGATATATGCATTTGCGCATGATACATGAATTTAAAAAGAAGAATTGCTCAAACTACAGAGTCAGAAAATAGAAAGACATGAGACATAGCAGAATACCCTCCTTCATGGATGCAGTAACCCAAACACCATATTGCCAGCCCTTGCGCCCGGAACCTGATAAACGCCTCTAAAAAGCGGAGACTATGCTTCGCTCTTGGTGGGCTCCTTCTCTTGAGGTTCACCGGTTGGTTCCTTTACTTCCTTAGGTGATTCCTGCTCTGCTTTGGCTGGCTCAGGTACATCCTTAGGAGCTTCTGGGCTCTTTTCTTTGGTCTCGGTTGTCTCCACTGTTTCCGCTACCTTACTTGCCTCAGCTGGCCCTGAATCCTCTACGGACTCTTTCTGAGGGGCCTGTGCATTGGCTGAAGAGGGCGACTCCGTTGCAGGTTTGTCTGTAGCTAGCGTTTCTTCGGCGGGCTTCTTCTCTTCTGCCTGGGCCTCACTTGGCGCGACTGATTGATCCTGCTGCTCTGTTTCAGGCGCAGCATCGTCCACATCTTCCATGGTGGTATCCTCATCCTGTGCCTTGGGGGATGGCTGGCGAGAAATAGGCGCAGAGGGAGCTGCTTGCTCTTGACCGTCAATCGCCATTTCCGTTTGCTCTGCTGCAGACGCCTCTTCAGCCCTCGATGGTGCATCGGCAACAGAAGGGGTTGCGGGTGCCTCGGTTTCAGTCTGTGGGGCATCGCCCATCTTCGCATCGGCAGTAGTATCCATGTCATCGTCAGGCACCGAAGAAGCCTCGGCGGGGGTAGCAATTCCGCTCTCAAGTCCAGATTCAACATCAAGGTTGCGATAGTTAACTTGGTTCCTCCGTTTCATTACGCCAGGTTGGCGGCGGACTCCGTTGGCAGCGTTCTCCTCTTCGTCTTCGCTATCACTAAGCTCACCTGGTTTCTCGACATATTGATCGAATCGCCTTTTGGTGAAACGCTTGTCCTTATTCTCGTCCTCATCCAGGTCATCCAAAATTGCATCTGCTTCATCATCCATGCCTTCTACAAGAGGGTCGCGTGGTACGTCCGTCATCTGTACGGAAGGTGCAAACGAAGTTCGCTTAAGGTTCTCGACAACTTGCGCACGGATCTTATCTAGATACTCTTTCGTATTGGCGTTGTCCATATTCGATGGCCGCACATCCAACTCATAATCCGGGGCAAAGTACTGTTCATGTTAGCAACTTCTGACATGAACATATTTGAGGGAAACGATCTCACCTCATAGTAATCATTATAAGGAAGATCGGAGCCCAAAGGATCCCCAACAAGTATACCAGTCTCAAACGCCCAGGTTCGCGCGACGTTGCGCATTGTGTAACCTCCGCCTCCAAGAATTAATGTGGGAAGATTGAAGCTCTTGATGAAGTTCACACAGTTTGCATGTCCTCTCATACTAAGGTTGAAGCACCCCAAACGGTCACCTGAAAGACTGTCACCACCGCATTGGAGAACCACTGCTTCCGGTCGGTACCATTCCATAACACTCTTGATGACAGGCTCAAAGATGCTCTTGTAAGAAACGTCGTCTATACCATCGCGGAGTGGGAAGTTCACGGCGTAATATTTACCCTGGCCAACACCAATATCGCGGAGCTCGCCAGTTCCTGGGAAGTATTCCCCGTACTTGTGGAAAGAGACAGTCATAACACGATCCGTAGTGTAGAAGGCTTCTTCAACGCCATCACCATGATGTACATCAATGTCAACGTACAGCACTCGTTGCTTGAAGCGCAACAACTCAAGAATGCCTAACACAATATCTATGGAGAATTCGTTAATGAGTCTTCACGGCACAGCCAAAAACATGGTTCGTTATTACCGTTCACGTAGCAGAAACCACTTGCTTCACTCTTCTTTGCATGGTGAAGACCACCTGCCCAGTTGACAGCAATGTCGCATTTATTACGATTTAGTCGGGCCGCGCCCTCCATACTACCTCCCGCGCTGATTCCGCAAAATTCAAAAAGCCCGTCGAAAACAGGACAATCATCACCGACGTTATACTTGCTTTGCTCCTTGGCGTAAGTGTCCATGTTATCCGGCGTTACTTTGGAAAGGAAGTCGATATATTCATCTGTGTGGAATTGGGTCATCTCGTATTTAGACGCTGGTTTTGCGCGCTATGAGATTGCACGTTAGCAAGGTCAACATCGTGCAATAGCAACCTGAGAGCGCGCCACTCACATAAATTTCCATCTTTTTATAGAGACCATAGTTCATAACCAAACTATGTGTCATCCTTATGCGATGGGGCTTCATTGGATGTCCCGAGACGTAGGCATAGTTACCAACGTCGGAATCGTAGAAATATGCGACCTTCTTGCCACGGTCTGACCCATTGGCATTGATCGGGTCCAAGGGAGCTAATGAAGTCATCTTGGATGACAATGTATAAAAGAGCACCGATAGCGTTGGCTCAAATGGTTATTAGGAAATATATGCCTTGGGCACGGCGAATTCTCGGTTCTGCTGGTGATGTAAAAGGGAAGATGTAGAGGACGATGGGCAAGAGCCAAGGGGAGGGGTCCAGATACTTGGTGGTCAGGTCCCGGATTTAGAGCGCCCTATCAAGGAAAGAGAGGAGAGGGAAATAGCAGAATCAAGAGTTATGATAAGTGACTGGACCGCATTCCCATGGCCGGGGAGAATGAGGAACGAAGGTTGAAGCGAAGGGGAAAGAAAGGCGGGAGCGCCAATTAACGGTCCAAAGCTGTGCCCACCGCCTTCGTCAGTTAGGCTTCTTGGAGCTCAACTGCGGCTTCACCTCCAACCACCATCTCTTATCGCTTGCATCCCATTTCAATCCCCCTCATCTACCTTTCAGTCATTACTCCATTATCGCATTCTTTGCGAGCTTCCTTCTACGTTGCCACCCTTTGACATCCCGATCAACTCTTTTGTCTTCCGGGGCTTCCCTCTAGGAAGCTATCCTTTACCTTTGCATCTCCGCGACTCATATTCCGTCAGCAGCTATGGAGCGACTTGGTCGGATGCTTCAGGCCGCCCAAAGTATGGGCATGGGCGGTGCTGCCCCCGGTGGCGTAAGTTGAGTCTAGACATTGCTTAATCACTGTTCTCCTATGGCGGTTCTTTCCGAGTACCTCATATGTGGCGTTGTACTAGATTAAGACTCTCTATCCGAGTTACACACCTGTGAAGCTATTATACTGATATGTGACTCTTTAGGATACCCCTAACCTGATCGATAACTCCGAAACAGTACATATCTCATCGTTGGCTCTGCTCAAGATGTTGCGACATGGTCGGGCAGGCGTGCCTATGGAAGTCATGGGTCTGATGTTGGGAGAGTTCGTGGATGAATACACAGTTCGAGTAGTAGATGTGTTCGCTATGCCTCAGAGCGGTACTGGAGTTAGCGTCGAAGCTGTGGACCCCGTATTTCAGACCAAGATGATGGATATGCTCCGCCAAACAGGACGGTAAGGTTTGACTCGGCCCTTAACCTTACTTGGAACGATATTGATTCTTTGAATTATGTAGGCCAGAGACCGTTGTTGGCTGGTATCACTCTCATCCTGGTTTTGGCTGCTGGCTCTCGTCTGTCGATATCAACACCCAGCAATCCTTCGAGCAGCTCACCCCGCGCGCTGTCGCCGTTGTCGTTGACCCTATCCAGTCCGTCAAGGGCAAAGTTGTTATTGATGCTTTCCGACTTATTCAACCCCAGACTGTGGTCATGGGTCAGGAGCCTCGGCAAACAACATCCAATTTGGGTCACCTGAATAAGCCGTCGATCCAAGCACTCATCCACGGTCTGAACAGGCACTACTACAGCATTGCCATCAACTACCGTAAGACAGGGTTGGAGGAGAACATGTTGATGAACCTGCATAAGCATGTTTGGACGGAAGCCTTGCAGATGAAGGATTTCCATGAGGAAGGCGAGCACAACGTCGACCGCATGAAGCAACTCGTCAGCCTCGCCGAGGGCTACGAAAAACGAGTTAAAGAAGAAACGGAACTTAGCAAGGAGCAGCTCAAGACAAGATATGTCGGAAAGGTCGATCCCAAGAAGCGTAAGTCATATTCGGAACTCTGGTTTTGCTTTCCGTATAAGTATTAACTATTGCTATAGACATTGAGGATGTAAGTCAGCAGTTGATTGAAGATAATATTGTCGCGGTCTCGCGGCAGATGATCGACAAGGAAGCCTCAGTTGCCAGGCAATCAAATGGAAAAGGAGCTCAAAACGGCGCCAGTATGGAGGTGGACGAAGACCTATAGATGATTAGCTAGTAGTTATGAGGAGTATCATAATCTCTGTTTCTATATGGGTACAGGACAGTAGTCCTGTGTCGCAGGGGCAGCCATCATGCACGGAAACAATTATAAATGAATAACGTTTCAATTTATACTATTCGAACACTGCATAAGGAACCACAGCTCAGTCATTGTGCTATTCATTGCACGGGTTGACTACTATAACACAAATTTACATATAAATCAGCAACTTTTCGTGAACTTGGGTGGTCAAATCCAATAAACACCAGGCAATTATTCGACTCTATATTGATGAATGTTTATAAGCTACTCTATACTTTCAGTATCATTTAAAGAGACATTAGACCAGACCGAGTGACCGGTCACGGTAATGATTATGGTCCGAACAACGAATCAGTGTGAGGCGGAACATCGTTGACTCGACCACGCTGCATCGACTTCAGTTCGTAAACCATGGGAATGTCCATGTCTTCCTCATCGCAGTCTGTCCATCCGCGCTCGGGGCCCCAAGCAATCTTCTTCTTGGCTGCTTTGGCTTCACGAAGTAGACGCTGCATCAACGCCCCGTTCTTGCGGACGGACGGCCACCCGTCAAATTCCACATATTCTAAGCTTGGCATTTTGGCGAGAACATCGCGAAGTATTCCACCAGAAAACTCAGTGTAAAAGTTCTTGGAAATCCGGAAGCCTTCAAATACCGGATGCGAAGGATCGACCTCAATAAACACTTTAAATGTCTTAGCACGAACCATTTCTTCCAGACCAAGACGGCGGTTGACTTTCCAAGAGCTGGGAGGTGCTGTCCAGCTGGACCCTAGGATTAATTCGATAGTAGCGATGGAGGGTCGGTATCTAGGCGGTATCATACTGACTGTTGGCATTCGGGAATAATCCTGCAAAGGGAAGAGACGGAATGTCTGGGTGGTATAGAAATAGTCGGAAGCCTCATCGTGCACACGCCGGGATACCAGGAAGAGGTTGATCCGGTGAGATGTCGGAGATAGTGGTGGATTTTTCTTCGAGGAAGCTCCTACACTGCCCTTGGTGTGTAGATGCGCTCGCTTGCGGCGAGGGGTAAAGAGAAGGATGTGATATATGCGCAAACGTAACTCGGACGGAAGGTCGAAGAACGGAAACGAATTCAACGGCGCTGTTTCTTCAATATCCTCTTCATTGTCCTCATCCTCAGCCTCTCGCAGCTCGACCTGATCTCTTTTCGGTGGTGGGTTCTCGAGGTGTACCTTTTCCAGGGCATCTGATATGGAGTCCATGATGGCTGAAGATCGAATCTAAAAGGGAAAAGGGGAAAAGAAAAAAAAATACGCGAAATATTCTATTGGAATAGGTCTTTATTTCATAAGGTTCTTTTTCATGCCATTGTTGCAGCTAACAGTTAACTGAACTTGCGAATTAACACAGTACACTTTCTCTTTTGCAAGGTGGGTAGCGGACATCAAACCACCATTTATATAGAGAGAACAATTTGTATCCCACCAACGGGGCTGCAGCTGCACAGATATCCTTCGCTGCGGCTCTTGGGTGCAGGATAGAAGCGAAACTTCATTTGTCTCCCCAGCTAATACAACCCGGCATGCATCAAAAGGCTTGTTGGGTCAAATTTACCGTCTGGGTTTCAACTTTCATAATTTGGAAAGAAAAAGAAAAAGAAAAGGAAGAAACCGGCAGAAAGTGGAAGATTTTATAGGCGGCGCTGCGCGGTGGGGACTTACCGCTCGCCGTACCTCCGACAGCGCAACTTTTCCGAAGCTTGACACTCGACCGGTTATCTTCTGGACTTCGACAGACAGACTCTCAGACTGTCAACGTACTCTCGCACGTTTGTTGGATCGGTCTGGTGCTAGGTCCTGTTATAACTCCCGCTCAAGCCGCCTCCCTTGTGCAGAGCATGAGTATATTGTTAGATTTTACCTATCCTTAATTACATCACACTTTCTTTTCCACTATGCTTAGCCGTGCAGTATTGCCTCTGACGAGGCCCAACACTCTCGCCTCTACGGTTCGTTTATCCGCCTTGCCAATTACCCACTCTCGGTGGTACGCGAAGAACAATAAACCCAAGGCTCCTTACAAACTGCCTGAGTCTGTCAAGCCTCCCAAAGCCGAGCAGTCTACACAACAAGAGTATTCGGCTTCTCAAGCTGAGTTCGACACCAACGCGGATGCACAAAGAAACACAGCAAACCAGACTGCCGAATCTGTGAGTAAATCGTCCTGACTATGGATCTCGCTTTCCATAGCTGACTGAATTCGACAAGGCCGAATCTAGCCAGGCGGCGGCCGAGAAAGCTGCGCCCCAAACACCACTTCCCGATCTCACACAGGGCATTCCCTCAACCCTTGCCGCAGAACTAGAAGCTCGCTCGAAAGGCCGTGGACCGACTGCGCTGAATCTCACCGAAGACCCTTCCCGCTCCGAAGATTACACTGATGATGGCCACGGCGGCGATATTCCCAAGGATGGCTACGTCTCGTCTCTTGATCGCCGAAGGGCTCGGATGGCCAACCTCATGTATGCCCTTTTCCTGCTTGCGGGCGCAGGTGGTGTTGCCTATTTGGGACGGAACTGGGATACTGAAGAGGAGGAGAAACTTCATCCGGATGTGCCCTCGGGCTGGAGTTTTGGGCTTTGGTACAGCCGTGTCAAAGCTCGCTTTGGAGATATCACTAGCTACTACAAAGATCCTGCTTTCCCTAAGCTGCTCCCTGATGAAGACCCCAACCTCCGCCAGCCTTACACTTTGGTGCTAAGTTTGGAGGACTTGCTTGTGCATAGTGAATGGAGCCGTGAACACGGATGGCGGGTTGCCAAGCGACCTGGAGTCGATTATTTCCTTCGCTACCTCAACCAGTATTACGAACTTGTTCTTTTCACCAGCGTTCCGAGCATGATGGCAGATCAGGTACTTCGCAAGCTCGACCCTTTCCGCATCATCCGCTGGCCACTATTCAGGGAAGCCACTAGATACAAGGATGGAGAGTATATTAAGGTGCGTCTTATCAAAGAGGGGATGAAAATACATTGTACACTTATTGATTGCACCTATATAGGACCTTTCCTACCTTAACCGTGACCTGTCGAAGGTTATCTTGATCGACACCAAGGAGGAACACGCCCGTCTGCAGCCCGAAAATGCTATCATTCTCGACAAGTGGCACGGTGATTCCAAGGACAAGACTTTGGTCGCTTTGATTCCTTTGCTTGAATATCTTGCCGGTATGGGAGTGGAAGATGTACGCCCTGTCCTGAAGTCGTTTGAGGGCACCGATATCCCCGTTGAGTTTGCCAAGCGCGAGAAGGCCATGCGTGAGCGGTTCCAGAAGGAGCTGGGCGAGGAGCAGCAGAAGCGGCCTAAGGTTAGCATGGGCAGCTTGGCCTCTGCGTTTGGCTTGAAATCCACCCGAACCTTGGATGGCGAGACGACTCCATCTGAGGGTCTCGCCCAGGGTAAAATGCTCTGGGATCAGATCCGTGAGAGAGGCCAGAAGAACTATGAGATGATGGAGAAGGAGATTCGCGAGAACGGTGAGAAGTGGCTGGCTGAGATGGCCGCTGAAGAGGAGAAGGCTCGGCAGGAGCAAATGAACCAGATGAAGGGCTCTTTCACCAGCATGTTCGGTGCTGGCAAGCAGTAATTTGTTTTCCTGAGGATTAAACTGGGAGCAACACTCTTCTCCTGTTTGGATCTTTTAATGTGTACCTGAGGTGCTTTTTCTGGGGGGGGGGCGGGGTTATGATTAGAGGTTCTCCTTTTTTGGCTCCTGAGCATCATGGGTTGTTTGTAAAATAGCATTTGGTTCATTATATGTCTTCTGTATAAATGAGATTACAAGTTTAATGTCTTTAATGTCTTTGCTTCTGAGATATATTACTTGCATTAGACACCATATTTACGTCTGAAACCAACATATATATAGTTCACACTGGGTATAATTGAAAGAGAATTCCTCCCGGTTCGTCTCTAGCTTGTTATATCATGGCAAATTCACGTCCTGGAAAACAGAGACATCCCAAATACCTGTCATATCAAACGGGAAACCGTCCATCGTACCAAAAGTCCCCGAGATGGACATCATGTCGTCAACAATATCATTATTCGTCTGCGTCTCGGGAAGCGAAATCGCAGCCGGGTTCACCAGGCGATTATCAGGCTGCACGACACCACTGAAGTTGAGGTCAGGGGTGCTTCCGTTGCCAGGGAGTCTGTTGAGGATCCGATCGCAGTGGTCCAGACACATGTCAGCTACATCCCAGTCCTCCTCTTCTCTGACACGGCGTAATATACTCCGGAACATCTCCACGTTGTTGATACAGGAGCGAGCCACGTCTGTGTCTGTGGTTTCCAATGCGCAGCGGACGAGAAGAGTGGCGGTGGATGTGAGGTGGAAGGCGCTGTCTGTGGCAGAATTAGATACTTTAAACCAGACAATCGTAAGGGTTCTAAAGGGCTATCTCATACATGGCAACCAGAACTCCTGGAAGTTCTCTTTCCGCAGTGAAGAGATAAATTGTACGATTTCTTCGGCGGAGCGTCGGCATTCCGTTTGGAAGTAGCGTCGTGCTTCTGGGTTATCGGTATCTGCACTATTGACCTCCTATGGGTGATCGGTTAGAAATGAAGTCTAGGTTGCGCAGTGTTGGATACTTACTTTCAGTTCCACTCGGCTTACAAGCATCTTGACGGCCAGAAAACCCAGCTGCAAGCTACTTGTCCCTGAGATACGTTCCTCCGTGCTAGTACTTGCTGGTGACCTCAACCAGTCGGGGAGAGAATCCTCCCACATGTCGAGGTCAGTTCTGATCTGTCGTAATCTCTTGGAAGTCTCGCGTGAAACTCGGTGTTGCAAGCCGTACACAAGCGGCATGAGCTCGCCAAGGATCTCTGTCAAGCGACACAGCGCGATGTGGCAGTGAGCGGCCCTCACGCGCTCATTAGTGCGACCATTCGGCGACAACAAACCGTCGATTGTGGGGAGTGGGACATCATATTGATTCTTGGCAATCTGAGGAGGTACACCGTGACCAAAACTCCCCCTTTCAACTGGGTCAGCGAGAATAAAGAGACCGCACATAAAGGGACTTACCAGCGATCGTGTATCACAACACCCCACCACAATCGTATACGGTGATCTTTCTCCTTCTGAGAAACCTTCCAGTGGCTGGGATCTCGATTTAGGCCAAGGCAATGAGCGAGAGATATCATTCGACCACAACTGATGGCATTGCCGGTCATGGAGAATATTGGCCGCCCCGTGAGGTCAATCAAAGCACAGCTTATTGTCGACAAGCCTGGGGCAGAAAACTCCTCGTGAAGGGCGGCCACAGTCATGTTGACTGCATATCGGACATCCGGTTTGGGGTGGCTGGCAAGCTTCGGCACATGCTTCCAGTAGACAAGCGACATCGAATAGACCTGGCATATAAGGGACGCTGGTGGTTCGCCTGGGACTTCCGAGATGTATGCTTCCCAGAAGCTATCACCATCAAAGATTGGGAACGCTACGTTGAACCTGTCTATAAAGCTGCAGATATAAATTAGTACCCAGCCGTATCAAAAGACGGTCAAAAGCGTACAGCCTAACTAGATCATGCCGGAAAGGCCCGAGTATTTGTTCAAGAACTTCTTTCTGGTTCTCTCCAGGTGGGATGCCGACTCGCATGCCCTGTCTCCGTCTAGAGATGGTGGTATAAAGTATAGGTTTTCTCGGATCGTTCGAGTAGACATTGTACGGATGACTGTTAGGGTCCTCGTTCTTGTTGGAATATTCTGGTGGCATAAATTTCTCGATTACCTGAGCGTCATCCGCAACAACAGGACCAACGATATGAACGGATTCGTTGTGAGGGTCTTCAATTCCTTGCCGTCGGGTTTCGCTTCCGCGACTGTCCACTACGGAGCTCGCGCGGGGTAGGGTGGAGGTATCTTCTCGTGGACGACTAGGAGGGGAATCGCTGTGGGGGGTACGCTTGCGCTTCTGGCCAGAAGGCAAGCTTTCACTGGAATTATCGACGGACCATCTTTTGGGATCAGGGCCATTAGCAATGGACGTATCGTGATTGGATTCTTCTTGGTAATGACAATCTGCTCCCTGGACTCGGCATAGGAGACATGACTGGCCTGGGATATCCACCGTGCATCGGGACTTGCGCTTTCTACACAAGTCACAAGCCCTGACTTTGTGAGATCTGTATGGCCTTGCACCGGCGTTGAATCCCGGGGTGACAAGCTTTTGAGTAGTAGAACTACTCTGAGCAGTCGGAGGTGACATGGCGATTCTCAGATGGGTTTCTTATTGATCCAAGACAGCGATTGTTAGTCTTGAAGGTCCAATTGAGAGTCGCGTGCGCACCAACGGACTTCTCCGAGGTTGTTAAGGAAATGGCGCTTGAGGTGCAGGCGGAGAGGAAGATACTGTAATGGGCTGGCACACTTATCGAGTTTAGGTCATGAAAACCGACTAGCGCACGGTCAATGCAAGCGACATCGAACCAGATGATGTTAGTCGCGGTGTCGCGCAGAGGCCCTCATAGTCCACAGTACTGTTCTGTTACTCAATCTGGGGGTAATCAAGACATATCTGAAGTGACAAATCGCGGAGG